CTTCTGAAGGCGGACAACGGACAAATATCCTGTCCTAAAAAATTAAAAAAAAAAAAATCGAAAGGAAAGAAAACATACCATTAATTTGCCCAAATTGTTGCTGTGGAAGTCAGTCAGCTAAACATGGCAGCTAAGGGCACTTCTGAGGAACAAATTCCACAGTTCCTGCCTCCCGCCTGATGTGGAGAACTGGAAGCAATGCGACCGCTCCCCATTTCCTAGGACAAAAAGCAGGTGTTCCTCTCAGCTGGTTACTCCCATGTTCGTGGTTAGATAATGATTTTTCATTAATATTTACCTCAGGTTTAACAGTCCTTGTTTGATTACAGCTCATGTCTCTCGAGTCACTGATCAATATGTGTTATATCACCGGTAGATCTGTTCAGAGCCTTCACGGGGATTGATACATGACTTGTCTTTCCTCTCTTTGCTTCTGTCACCAGCTGCTTCTAGACATTAACTCAGCTGAGCCAGAGCAGCACTGGGGCAATCCTGCCCCAAACCTTCCCTCAGGAAGAACCTTTCCAAAGAACTAAGGTCCCTTATATGATATTTCAGCTTGGAAAGGACCTCTGGAGGTCTCTGGTCCAACCTCTTGCTCAAAGCAGGGTCAGTGCTGAATTCAAACCATATTTCTCAGGAGCAGCATTAACAGATAAAGTTAATATTTGAATGGGGACCCATTCCATCTCCAGTAATGCAAAGCAGAGGGCTCCAACTTGCCTTAAGTGCTTCTTTAGGTTCCAATCAGTGGCACCTCAGGAGCTTTCTTGATAAGATTTGATTTCTGTACATTTATTGAATTGCAGCAGGTTTTTATTCCATGAAGTTGTTTAGATTCTCAGTGAACCAGGGTAAAAATCTTAATCATAGAATCATTATTGTTGGAAATGGTGGAATTCTGCTCACAGGATACACCTCCCTTGGTATGTCTACATGGAGGTTTCTGCTTGTCATCTGGGTGCTGTGACAGCCAAGAGAGAATTACTCAGTGCAAGTTAATGCAGCCAAGACTGATTCAGCTGATCAGATACATGTATCTACATTTAACTCTCAGCTCTTGCCAGTGATGTAACCCATTTCTCATGTGTGTTTCTGGTCCCTCTTCTGTCAAAATAGTGCCTTAAAAATGAAGTTTCGTGGAATTATTCATGTGAACAAAAAAGGAGAAGAAGCCTAGATAGACTGCTGTGGTGTGGGAAACTGTGTTGGAGATGAACATGGATCTGAGTGTTTCGTTTTCATCCCTTAAAATGTGTTTGGTTCCTTCCAGCACTGAATCTACTCAAGTCTCCCAAGTTTGAAGCATGAAAATCTCAGGGAGCCACTGAGCTGTTCCCTGTCCTCTGACATTTTTTTCTGTGACGTTAATGACCATTTTTGGGCTGGGATGAGAAATGTCAGAGACTTCCAGCAGATTCATCAAAGGCAAATGTCAGCCCATAGACCTTGTGACCAATGAAGGGAAGAAAGTCATTGCAGTGTAGGTACAGTCACTGGAAAATGCCCCCTTCACCCCAACACTAAGTAGAAGTGGCTGTTTATTATGTTTTGAGGCATTATTTTGTCTATTCAGGCACCAGGGATATGATCACCTCATATTCTTGATGTTCTCTGTAGCAGACTGCCAGATGTTAAGACCTGCTGTTGATTTTTAGTCAGGTTTAATGCACGGTACTACTAGATTTGGATTAAGCTTTAAACAGCCCTGAAGCTTCTGGAGCCAGGTATCCTGCAAAAATCCAAGCTTTCCTTAAAAAACCCAGAATAACAAATGGAAAATACAAGGAAAGGACAACAAAGTTGTGTTGGTTGTGCTTACCTGGTTCTGCCAAGAGCTTAAACCAGCAGATTCAGAAGGTGCAAAATGCCTCATGTTGCACTGTTAGCTGGGTAACACTCACAAATACTCTGTGAACAAGGATGATATAAACATAAATATACACACATATATGTACATTTTAACTTGATACAAGGAGGTGCACCTTCCCACTCTCTTGGTGTTCCTCTCTTTGCTTCTGTCACCAGCTGCTTCTAGACATTAACTCAGCTGAGCCAGAGCAGCACTGGGGCAATCCTGCCCCAAACCTTCCCTCAGGAAGAACTTTTCCAAAGAACTAAGGTCCCTTATATGATATTTCAGCTTGGAAAGGACCTCTGGAGGTCTCTGGTCCAACCTCTTGCTCAAAGCAGGGTCAGCGCTGAATTCAAACCGTGTTTCTCAGGAGCAGCATTAACAGATAAAGTTAATATTTGAATGGGGACCCATTCCATCTCCAGTAATGCAAAGCAGAGCTTTGCCACAGCAAAGCAGAACTTCCAAGGTTTGCCTGGGTTTGCCTCCTTTTGGAACAGGTCCCAGAGCCTTTGCTCTGGGATCTTACGTTCCTGGCAGGCTGTGTAAAATTACACGCTGGAGGCAAGCAAGAGCTTTTCCTATGACATTTCCAGGTTTTCTTTGATTCCACACAGCCCGTCAATAAGTGTTGATTAGCGGGGAGAATGACCTCAAGTCACGTCAGCTGGAGGATGTGTTTTTCCTGGAGGGAGAGGAAGAATATGATTTCCACCTCTCAAAGATAAAGATTATCACGGGTTTTTAAAGCCCAGTTACGCTCTTATTGTCTTTTGTCTTTTACAGAAGCCCTTCCAACGAAAGGGAAGCCTAATGGTTTAATCTTTTAAAATGTCAGGGCTTGTGAAATGTTGACATTGATGCGTCAGACCTCAGATATGGATTCTCTGGGGTTTAAAAGCTGCATTATGATAGAAAATAATTTAGTTTCTTCTCTGCTTTTGGGTGTGTGTGTATCAGTCACTTATTTGCTAAGACACCTGGATTTAAGTTTGGCCATTTGACCTTCCAGATGTGAGTAGGATTTTCCAGAGAGTCTACAGTCCAGATTCCTAAATTGCTTTTGATATCAAGGAAATGCATTTGAAGATCTAATTTATTGAGATACACAAATCCCACTGTCTCTGCAGTGAAAAACAGTATTTATTTTTAACAGGGGATGACTTAAGTAATAGAATATTAATTTAGAGATATATCAGGAATTCAGCATGAATTTCTGGATCATGCAATTTTCAGTGCTGCCTCATACGTATATATTTATGTCAGACTGACACTTCTCACATGTAAGTCCTATTAATGCTGAAGGTTTCATTAATTGATTTCAGTTTCTACTGCATGGATGATGAAGGAACCAAAATATCCACCATTTCAACCAAAATTCCCTTCTATTTGTGGATAAACTGCTTTTAACTGCGAGGATATCACTCCTGCATATTGAAGAACAAGACATAAAAATATATTATTAGCACTTCAGATTAGCAGGACTTGGAAATCAGTTTATTTTCACTGTTTTTATGCTGACCAAAAACTGAGATTTTTTTTTTCCATGCTTAAAAATTAGATATGATGCTACTTTGTCACAGAGAAGAAACAAGAAAAGTGAGTAGAAAAGGTGGACAGTGAAAGAGTTCAGTTAAACGTCTTTAAGTTTTAATGTCATTGAAATATTAATTTAGGGAAAATTAAGGCGTAAAACCACAAAACCGGATTTATGGCACAATTTCCCATAGTTTCATTGTTCTGGATAGGTCACAATAACATGTAATTATAGTTTTGCCAGGTATGACCCAGCAATTTTCAATGCAGAGGCTCTGACAGAAGGGATAACCTACTGACAGCAGTATTTTTGAGCAGAAGTTTTGCAGAGTTTGCTTCCTACTCCGAGTCACTCCCAGTCTCAGTTTCTCTGGCCTGTGTCCAAGCTCATGTTTCATCCTGTCCATGCAATTGAGTTATTTCTGCTTAACACCAAGTTATTCAGCTCAGTAACAGTCTTGCCTTCACTTATTGAAGACACCACTGAACACAGAAATTAGAAGTAGAACTCAAAACTTTTTATAAAAATGTTTTAGCTCCGTGGTTTCTTGTTAAGCACAAATTTCCATCAGTACCCCTGAAATGTTGTCAGCATTTCTACTCTGTAATATTCATTTATGTGATTACTATGGTTTCAGTGTGTCATACAGCACTTACATTTATAAGAAACTCTACTGATTTCATGACTAATAATACCATTGGAATATCTGTGTCTGCCAGTTTGAGTTTTTCTAGACAATCTGCTTTGCTCCAGGAGGAAATTGAAACATTTCTCCCATGAACTCCTGAGGATTCCTGAATTGTGGGTGCTCTTTTATAGATCCCAAAGAAGTTGAATGAGATTTAATTTAGGTCTAAGGTGCCAAAAAGAATCTACATGTGAGTTAAGTGCCTAAGCTCTTCGTAGTCAAATGAGATCTATACAAAATAAAAGACAGACCTTTCAGTGATCACCTACATTTCATCAGCTGAATGCATCTCCTCTCCAATGATCACATCCATTACCTGTTCAAGTTAGAGATACATTGCCTAAATATTGACATCTAGAGGGTTTTTAGTCACCTTTGGTCTTCTGTAGGATTTGTGTTATATGTACCACTCCCACAGAAGCACTTGATATCTCAGGTCATTGCACGTGGCATTAGAGGAATATTTTCAGCCAGTATCTTAATATTAATGTGGAAATCTCAGAAGCAATGAGTGAATGCCCTCAGGCACCACAGTTCACTTCTGAAAAAGTAAACTTTGCTAAGGGAGAATCTCTGGTTCATTTGTTTCTCACGTGTAGATGAGTTATGTTCTCATTCTGTGCAGTGGTTGAGTGTCTGCTCTGTCTGGATTCAGCAGCCACTCTATCATGGTGATTAACCAAGGAATTTGATTATGCCTAGGCTTGACTAGAGCAGTGCAAGATTCAAAACTAATTTCCATTCACTTTTCTTCTTTTTTTTTTTTATTTTCCCCCATTAAGCAAAACTCACCCAAGGAAAGAAACAGCTGTACAGGTCTCTATTTTCCTGTTGAGAAAATAGCTCCTACAAAAATTTGTTACACTGGTTGAAGTCAGGCAGGAACACCAAGTGACATTGTCCTTCTTGTCCCCCTGCAGCTCTCAGAGGGAATCAATGCAGGCCAAGGACTGGGGATCGAAATCATTGCCACCTTCCAGCTGGTGTTGTGTGTCCTGGCCACCACGGACCGGAGAAGGAACGATGTCTCGGGATCTGCACCCTTGGCCATCGGTCTCTCTGTTGCCTTGGGGCACCTGCTTGCTGTAAGTTTTAGCCCTCACAGTTTGCACCTGCAATATCCCAACCCAGGACGAACCAATGAAGGCAGGAAGATGATGAGGCAATGATAGTTTATTCCTTCTCCTTCCACTTCTGAGACTCTCTCTGTTTCTGCAACACACATGGCCCTTCTTTCATGGGCTGTGTGGCTGTGGCAGTGAGTGGTGAGGTGGCACACCTGGCAGGCATTGCTGTGTAGGACCCGTTGTCCTGGTGGGACAGGACAAACATGTGGCAAACATTCTTCCTCCTTTCTCCGAGGAAGAATGGGTGGGGTGAATAAAGCTGTTGGGAGCATCCAAACCCTGCTGCAGGCTCCCACCTGCCCTGCTGTGAAACGGGGGTGCCACATGTGCCTCACACTGGTTCTCTTTCCCCCTTCCCAGATCGACTACACCGGCTGTGGAATTAACCCGGCCAGATCCTTTGGCTCGGCACTGATCGCCAACAACTTCGAAAATCACTGGGTGAGTTGGATATATTTCTTTACCTCAAAAGAGCCTCTGAATATGCACAACCTAAAGATCAGAAACATTTAAACACATATCAGTAGGACCAGCTCAGCGAGTTGCCATTTCTATTTCATTTAACAACAAAAAGTCTCCCTTCACTCCTGACCAGCCTCAGGCAATCAGAAAGTCCTCAAGCTCATTCAGTCTCTGTGTTCAAAGTAATGCAGTAGATTTTCTTTGGTTATTTCCCCTTATATTTATTTATTTTGAACATTTTGCATGTTTAAGCCTTATTACACAAAATCCTGTGTTGTGTATTTATTGTTTAAACTGAGTTTTTGAAGCGCCGCTGCTTAATCTGGTAAAACCCAATTTAGGAAGATTCTCAAGCGGGTTTATATGAAATGGATCATCCAATATTTGAGAGCCAATAAAATGTTAAGCATCTTAAAGTTTTAAGTGCCTGCTTATGTGTTTTCAAGGATAAGTGCTCTGGAAACACTATAAATTTTAGATTATTCCCCGTGGTTAAATGTGGTTAAAATGAGCAGCTCCACAAAAATTTATTGATTTCACCAAAGCTCAATAAAGAAGGCTGATAAAAAAGTTGTAAATGAGCATGTGTTCTTGAATATATAAAATGTAGCTTGTTCCAGCTCTCCTACTCATGATTTTGGCAGTCAGTTGCATAGGCATTGGTGGAAATTGAGTGATACTACAACGAGTTGTGAAAATTGTGGGTATGGATGCCATTTTAATCTAAAGAATAAAATACAAAAGAAGGATACTGGGGAAATTTTAAAATATTTCCCACAAAAATTTCTATTGGGATACTGGGGTAAAGCAACTAAGCTAGTAGTTGGAATTTTCAGAATTTAATAGAAAAATTGTTATCCTTTGTACAGACAGAAGGAGATGGAGGTAATAATTTATGTTAGACTAGTGGTATTGCTGAATAAAACAAAAATTTTTCAGACTCAGTGACTCTTTGGCTTTTCAAATCCTTCAATATCATCAGTTATTTCTAATAAAATCAACTTGTCTACCAAAATCCTTTTATTACCTCTCCTTCCAAACTTTACTTGCCTTGAGTGGTTAGACCAGTTCAATTACAGCAATATCACAACTAAAGAGCAGCTAGCAGGAAATTAAGCCCTTAATTAGGTCCTCATTAAGTAATACTTTCAGATTCACCCATCACTGGAAGTTGATGGGAGAATGGAATCTAATGCCCTGTTGTCTTAGAAATTGTGCTCTGCTGCCAAACCTACCTTGAAGCAGCAGAGATGTTTTAGCAGTAGATACCCAATTTTAAATGTCAGAACTTGGCAACACAGTCACAGTTATTCACCTCCTGGTCTATCACCAATTCGTGGTGAGAAATTCCTGGTCTCTTGCCACGTGGTTAAGTAAACATTCGGGTTTCGGTGTAAATTTGATGTTCTCAATGTAATTTTTTCTGTGAGAATGAGGAACTTTGCAGAAAAGCTTCAAGTACAGGAAGACCTGATGCATTAACTGGGCTTGGACCTGTGTTTCAGATCTTCTGGGTTGGCCCAATCATTGGAGGAGCAAGTGCTGCCCTGATCTACGACTTCATCCTGGCTCCCAGGACCAGCGACCTGACCGACCGCATGAAGGTGTGGACCAGTGGCCAGGTGGAAGAGTATGACCTGGAAGGAGATGACATGAACTCCCGTGTGGAAATGAAGCCGAAATAAAGGAGGACAAGGAAGGGGAAACAAAAAAAAGAAAACAAAAAAAAAAAAAGAAAAAAAAGCAGCACATTGGTTTCCGAAGATTTTATCAGTGTTATAGACTCTTTGTAAACCAGCAAGCAGTACTTCGTTTTTTTTAATTCAATATGGTTTTCCCTTTTATGCCCCCAATCCTAATAATGTTGTTTTGTTTTTTTTTTTATATCTGTGGTTTGTCAATTATAGAGTCTTCGGGCCAAGAAGTCATTTTTAGACACCTTTGCATGAGCTAAATAAATTGGGCTGAAATTTAGCCCCTCCCTTGCTAGCACCAAATTTTCTGGTGTATTTAGCATGGGCAGTTCTCCCACCACATCACTCAGTAATGATAAGTAGTTCAAATGACCAGTCTGTTTGCTGAAAGAATAGATATTGAGGACAGAGAACCATCATAACATGGGACTTACATCTGAAAAAAAGCATTTATACAAAAATGCAAGGCTGGTGTCTAATGCCAGCAATGCATGGGAAAACCTATCTCAAATCATTGTCCAAAAGTCTCTTTTGGAATGAAAGGCCACTAAAAATTACTTGTTATGTAGAATTAACCATAATTTTGTAAATGCTTGACCTTCTCTGAGAAGGAGGGCCAGAAAAGTTTAGCAGGGTAAAAATTTCCAGAGTCTCGGAATCCTTTAGACTTTCCAGTGTTTCAGTCTCCCTGAACCTGCATCCAGCTCATGGTGAGGGGAGAGAATGTGGGACAAAAAAAATGTACAGATATATTAATTCCTGGGAAGTAATAACTAGAAGTCAAATAGGAGAGTAGTAATGACAATGGCCACAAGAACAACATGGTGCCAGTGTGTGAACAGGATCTGATTGTTCCTGTGACTACTCTGCTTGTGTTCATCTTATGTAATTTATCTGCATGTTTTATAGCAAAACAAGGAGAAAAGGAGTCCCCTTTCTTTGTGACCCCATTCCAATAGCCAGCGCTGTGACCTTCAGGGACAACAAATAGATGTACACACAATCTATTTTCTAATGAGGGACAAATACATACCTGTGTGTAAGTCCATTTTGGGGGTCATTGCTTTGTTTTTTATATATATATATAAATGTTTATATATATGTTTTATACAGAAAGCCTAGTATACTGTTTTGTAAGAAAACAAGAGCATAAAGACAAGTGGAAAGAAAAGAATTGCAGCAGTGCTTAGCAAAATAAATGACACTGGAAACGTGGAGAAAATCAACACTTTAAATGATCTGAAAGACTATTTTCTGTTTTTGGTTTTGTGTGTGTGCTACTTATGATTTCCTGAGTAACCCAAAGCATTAGCTGGTCTTACCTACTAACTGTAGAATATAGTTAAAGCAGATACATGCTGATATACTTGTTCTGCACTAAACAGTTTTCCATAAGAAATGAGGCCCAGGGGAATCTAAATAAAAATCAGCACAGTCCACCATTTAGACAAACACCCCAGGGGCAGTGGGAGGGATGTCTCCTCTTAAAGAGACAGTGAGGCATGGGAATTGAGAGAGGATTGACACAGAAATCCATATGGGTTGGATCATTTCATCAACTTGAGCAGATGTGCAATGAAAAAAAATAATAAAAAGGAAAATCACCAGCAAAATAAACCAGAATATATTTTATCTCTCTTGTCTACACTTGGTGTGCTATCCCGTGTATTGTCTGTGTACATAGAGCATGATTGGGTTTTGGCGTGGTTTAAAAATAAACAAAATCAGTTGTGCTAACAAATGAACTGTTCATGATTCTTGATTTTTGATTTGCTGTGTAACACAGTGCAATTTCATTTTCTGTACCATTCTTCAGGTGGTAAAACTGAGGCAGTTTCTGCTTTTCCACTCCTGACTGCTCTTTTGATTTGATGCTATCCTCTGGGGAAAGGAGTGTTCCTTGTTTTATGGCAGGCAAAGCAGGCCCTCACCTGGAATTAAACTCTATCCAAATACTTAGAAATATCCAGATACTTAGAAATGGAGCAGATCCCACAACCTTCTTATCTACCTTTCAGAATATCTTTTCAATTTTATTTGCTGTTGTCCCAGTGCATCCATTGACTCCTAATTAACCTTTTTTTGCCTTACAAAATCTGAGCCAGAGCAGCTGCAGAAGTCATCCAAAGTGAACATTTGTTTTGACAAGCTTGAGGTAAATTAACACTGCTGGTGACGGAAGAAATGTGAGATTCACAATTTGTTCCTTAGGCCACACCCTGCAAAGAGCAACATCTTGGCTTATCTTCTGCACTTCAAAGCCCAAAACTTTGAAGACAAGCAAGACTGGCTTCTCCTTTAGGGTGTAATAGACCTATGTCGTGTTAGCTGCACTAGCTTATGATCACCAAAATAATAAATAAAATAGATTAAAGATGTACAATAGTTGTTTCACTAGTGAAAAAAAACAAAGAAACAACCCAAATCAAAGTAAATTGTGATTTTTTTGGTGTGTTTTATAGAATCATAGAATCATTGGAAGTTTTGTGTTAGAAGGGACCTTAAAAATCACCTAGTTCCAACCCCCTGCCGTGGTCAGGGACACCTTCCACTAGACCATTTATTCACAGTGATAATGTTTAAACAATTTACAGTGGCTCTTAAGGAAATTAAATTAAGAAAAAGAAAATTCAGCAGCATTCCAGGCTTAAACCCCTCCCTTCTTCTTAAAGAAAGCAAAGCTTAATGGTCCACTTAAAGTGCTTTTGTAGTGCTTAGATCCTGAAATGAGAACAGCAATTCAGGCCATGGCTGTTCACTCCTGGCACAAAGGGTTTTGCTTTGTGCTGGACAAGAACACTTCAAAGTTATTATCATCTCATTAAAATGTTGGGAAGACACCCAGCAAAGGAATTAAAAGCACGAAGCAGCAAATGTTGAAACCCACTTGCAAATGTCAAGTGGGCAAATGTGATCAGCCAGAAACTCAACAAAATCTCCCTGACAGAGCAAGCCTGGGACTTAAACGTGTTTGAACAGCTCCTGTGATGTAGCACTGAGAATTCCTGACCTGTGGACTAATAGGAATTGTCTGGTGATTCCCAGGCACAAACCTCTGTATTTGTTGCCCATTCTAAGAGGAAAAAAAATCATAGAATCCTGGAATGGTTTGGGTTGGAAGGGACCTTAAATGGCATCCAGTTCCAACCCCGCTGCCATGGGCAGGGATGTGACCCCCCCAGACCAGGTTGCTCAGAGCCCCATCCAAGCTGGCCCTGAACACTTCCAGGGATGGGGCAGCCACAGCTTCTCTGGGCAACCTGTGCCAGGGCATCCCCACCCTCACAGGGAAGATGATAAAGGGTAGATGCTTCCATGGATTACCTGGGAACCACCCACCCTGGTCTCAGTAGCCACCCACCAAGTAGGTCACAGCACACAAATACCTGCACTCCCTGTAAGAGACAAAGCAGAGGGAAATATTCCGGAGTCCAGGAACGTGATTTTCAATGCCTGTATGAACCATCCCAACTAACAGTCTCCCAAACTTTTCCTGGGCGATGTTGAGCCATCCAAGATGATCCACTAAGTTTTGTCTGAGGTGTGATCCCAGGGTTGTGCAGGGGCTCTCGCTCTGTGGTTTAGACAACTGACAATTTATCTGCTGTTTTTTGCATGTTCCAGCATGAGACAACTCGGAAGAAACCAGAGGAAGGTGCTTTGGATTCACCCCTGGAGAAATCCCTGTCACTCCATTGACTCTATAGGCAATCTATGGAGATGTGGTTCCTAACTTTAGCCATCTATCTTTAGAATTAAATACAAATTCTGCCTTCCCATTGTAACTGTGGCAATTTAATTTTAGATTTCGTGCTGCTCGACTCTACGTAGACTTTTAACACGTGCAAGGGAAGAAAGGCAATTGAAACCCAACATAATGACAGCCAATACTCCAGGAAGCTTCCATTGTCCTTCCATATCCACCAGCTGCACCAGTCACAATTCACAGTTTCGTGTTTTTAAAAATTAGAATAACACAATAATACTAATGCAGAGTTTCTCAGAGTATTTCAGTGTTTTCCCTTCTCTTACCCAGCTGAAGTTTGGACGTGCCAAGAGTCACACAATAAATTATATTAAGAACATGGCTGTTATGATTCAGTTGAAGCCTGGGTTCTAGTAAACATCTATGACAAGAATGGTTCTGGGTTTCATTCAAGCCTGATGTCCTTGAAAGTACCATATTTTGGGTATTTAAGTTGTCTCATGTTACGGAAATTAGTCAAGAATTTCTTCTGGGAAAGAAAATATGCATCCTTTTATAGACTTTCCAAAGCTGAATTGTGAAATCAAACCTCTGTTTAAAAAGATTAATTGCTAATTAGACATTAGCCATTGACAAGATCACATAATGTCAGATTCTTGAAATTATTGTGCCATGTAGGGCTATGAATGATGTTCCTGAAAAGGCACAATTCTTGTTGACTTCAAGGTTCCCTTTTGCTGTTGGACAAATCTAATATTTTCAGATCTACAAAGGGAATTACCAGGCTAAATTCTAGTTTGACAGTAGTAGGACTGAGTTTAAACCCTCTCAGTGAAATCTTATTCTTGCTGAAGACACAGTCATAGTCTGTTATTTGTTTTGGGAAAGTAAAATTTGATCTCAACTATTTCTCACCTTATAAAACCCCAATTCACCATCATATCAGTTATTTCTTGCTGTGTATCTCTGTTTCCTATTAAAACTTTCTAGGGACCTGTGCTCCTGCCCACTTCCATGTATCCATGGACGCCTGCCCATGGCATTCCTGTTCCTCTATTTAAATCTTTGGATGTGGATGTCAGGCCTATTGCCTGTAACACTGTGAAAAAAACACGGTATACTTTAGGATTTGGTAAAGGTTAATCACAAAATAAACACAGGAAAAAAGAATGGATGGAGGGAAGTGACACAGGGCACACAAGGCAACTTTTTGTGAACTTTGCTAACACTCAGAAGGATTCATTCTCCTCTCACCTTGGCTGAACTCTACACCCCTGACCTGCCCCTGAGCTGTGCCAGCATGAACGAAAGGTCTGCACCTTTTTCAATCATTGTGTTATGAGATTTATAGATTTTGTTAAAAAAAAAAAAAATCCCAGAAACTCAATACACTCCCCTGTTCATGGTTTCCTGGACTTCCTGACCTGTCATGCTCTAAAGTTTGCCATGAATTGCCCTCATTGTGCCATTTCCTCTGTTTTGTTGCTATTCTTGTCTTGGAGCGGGGATTAAGAAGCTTGTGGAAAATTATCAACATAGTGATACTATTTGCACATTTTTGGGTAGCATTTCTAGATATTTATTTCCCCTTTCTCTTCTTTTCCTCCACCCTTTGTTTTCAAGGCCCTGAGAAGGACTAATAACAGTGAGAGGTGATCCCTCCATTTAATCCCTTCTCCCTTCAGCTTGTGCTGAAGTTCCCCATTTTAGAGGGTGTATCCTTACTCCTACACAAAAACCTGGAGGGACCATTTATTAACTCATTTTTTCCTTGCCATTGAAAGCAAACAAAACAATGTTCCCTGGAAGCATGGGAGCCAAACAGCAACCCTTGGCAAAAAGTGGCTGTTAAGTGCAATTGCTGGAAATAGTAATAGTTTTTCTTTTCTGTTTGTTTTTTTTTTTTTTTTTTTTTTTAAATTTTTTTTTTAATTTTTATTTTTAATTTTTTTTAATTTTTATTTTATTTTCTTTTTATTTTATTTTATTTATCTTATTTTATTTTATTTTATTTTTTTCCCCTGAAAAGTAACTGGAGCACTTGCAGGTACCAATGTGTCCAAAAGACTGCCGTGACTATAAAAACAACAAGGTGCAGAACACACTTGGTTTCCTGATCTACAATTTTTTCTTGTTTCACCATTTCACATTATTGCTTAATGGAGAAGAACCTGGCATGAAAGGGGAGAGGGGAGAAGGAAAGGATGGGCCTGCTGATACTACATCCCATCAGCCCTGTGTGGGAGGAGAGGCCACTTGTACTGTAACTGTATTTTCTGTCTTGAAGCCAGATCTGATTTACCCAAAATTGTTTTAACATTGTTCAAGGAGTGAAAAAGGAGCTGAGTTCTATTCCTATCTGGCTTTCCAGTGTTTTGTGTTGTCATGGTAGCACGAAAAGTGTTTGGTCGTACAAGGGAGGGGACATTAGTACTTTCATGTGTGCTGCAAGAGATCTGACCTCAACTCCAGCTGGTCAAGACTCAAGCCAGGCAAGGGAGTGATTCTCAACCACCTATTTCAGTCTGTGAGAGCCAGAAAGATCTGTGTAGTGCCAATTTGACACACATTCCTTGCTAGTCCATGTCATTCCGTTTCTGTTGTTCTTCTAAGTGTACTTCAATGAGTCTTTATTTGCAAAGGTGATTAATGAAGGAGCCCTGAACTGGCAGACTGCAGTTGATTTGCCACAGGCAGGTATTTTGTCCGTGGGGCATTTTCTTTCTCATTCTTGTCATTGCTGAGGCTGCCACATCTACATCTTTTTGCATGAGCCTTCGTCTATAGAAGGCAGAGAAAATGTTTTGTGAATGTAGGTCCACGTTTCCTTGTCCATGGCTTGCAGGTAAAAGTCTCAAAGGAACAGGAAAGTTGTACTTCACT